CGTTTCTATATATATATATATATATATATATATATATATATAAAGAGACCAATTACCTTTTGTACAAAGATGTTACAACTATTCCCACTAGATGACAAATTAGATGACTTAGGGGTGAGTCACGAAGTGTAAAAGTTTTCTTAAAAAAATTGTATCTAATCAATGATACTCTTAAAACCAGCCATTTTGAAATCTAAGGGACAAGAATAATTGTGATGTCTTTGTATAAAAGGTAAATGGTCTATTTATAGACAATCCAATAATTTGAAAATCTTAGACACAATGTTTTGTACAAAGAGGTCACAATCATTAATTTTTTATACTAGAAGGTCACAATCATTTTTGTCTCTTAAATTTCAAAATAAGTTGTCGTAAGTGCCATTGAATAGATACAATGTTCCAAAAAAAAAATTCTCAAACTTCGTGACTCACCCCAAACCATCCAATTTAATATCTAATGAATAAGAATAAATGTGACTTTCATGTACAAAAGATAATCAACCTCTTTGTAGACAATTCCAAATTGAATACTTCAAATCTTTAGTGTAATTTGATAAGTTTCATTCAATTTTGATATAAATTGTGGAATTATTCACTTCTATTACAATGAAGTGTATTTTGGTAGGAAAAAAACGTAAAGGCCCAGAGAAAGAGAAGTATTAAGGGCGTGTTTGATTTCTTGAATTAGCAGCTTTGGAGGCCACCGCTTACAAAACTGTAAGATTTATAGTATTTGATTACGCGAAGTGCTACATAATGTTGCCACTAATTCCTAGTGACTTCCGAAGTAGTATTAAAAAGTGGAAGTGGTGGCTTCCATGCCACCCATAGAAGCGGCCACCTACCTTCCTTGGGACTTCACAAAATCGGAGTCAAAGGAAGACATTAGGGGCGGCAACAGGTTGGTTCGGGTCGGAACCAGGTCCAGCCAAACTCGGACCCAGACCAGCATTCATTAGACCCAAACCCGGACCCGAATTCACTAGACCTAGACCCAAAACCCAAATAGTTTCCAGGTCCAAGATTTGGACCTAGACCTGACTCGCCAAGTCCAATATTTGGACCCATACCAGACCAAGATCGGATCTACCCTCGGGTCTTGGGTCTGGGTGCATTGCCACCCCTAGGAGACACATAAAGAGGGGGAAAGAAAGATTAGCTTTGTGGTTCTTTGAGTACTAGTGTTCATTCAAAGGCATGCTTAAAGGAGAAATGGGAGTATCTCATTGCCTCCTCATTCAACAAAGGAGGCATAGACCTGCGCACTAAGGTTTTAAAAGATATATTACCACAACCTTAGTGCTTAATCTTCACTCTAGATTCAAAGCAATAAATTAAACCAAAAACTATATATTATATACAAAGAAATAGAGAGAGGAAAAGACCATTAACAACCAACAAAGAAGAGCCATTTAATCTACCCACTATCAACTGATGTGTCCGAATCCCTGCAAAGTGCAAGCAAATGGTATCAATTTGCTTAAATTCTTTTTCTTTTTTCTTTCTCTTTCTTCTTTGTTCTTTTCCTTTTCTCTTTATTTTTCCTTAGCAAAAATTAGAAGGAAAATAATCAAGTGGGGTTAATAGAAAAGTTGTTAGTTAGATAGACACCTCAATATGGCTTTACCTTTTTCCATTGAAGACATGGCACTCATTGACATTTGATAACATGAGATAACATTCTAAATGAATTTCAAAGAAGCATTTGGAATTAGATAAAGAAGAAAAAGGTAACAAAAGTCAAGCTAACAACCAACACTCTTCTTGGCTTTTTACCCCCACCCCCCTTCCTTTTATTCTCTTCCGACAAAAGCAAAACATCCACCAACCCCACCATCGCTTTCCTTTTCTTCTCGTTTTTCAACCCATCAGGGTCACAACATTCCCTTGTCGGCCATGTAAATGAAAACCCCTAATTCCTTAGCCAAGACCAAAACCCTAGACCCCTATTCCCCGAACCCAAAAGTATTATAATGCTACACTTTTTTCCTATTCCTTCCCCTCTTTCTTTTTTTTTTTGTTTTTTTTTTTTTTTTTTTAAACCCCTTAAAAAAAACTTCGAGATACACTAACGGGGTATATAGGCTCTAAATGAGAATGTCACAATCACCATTAACCATTAAATATATGCCAGCTTGAAATATATTAAAATGATTGACAAATTCTATTTCAAACTTTGTGCTTAAGCTGTGGTACACTAGAATGGTTAATACCTATTAGTTGATTTCATTTTCGATATATCAAATGAAATGGTCTTGTTGTATACTTTTTCTTATAGCATATACCACTTCTGTATTTATTTTTATAGCATATGTATCCCTCTTGTATTGCATGGGAGAACAATAAGAGAAAACAGTATGACCCGTATGCTGATATACTAATTTATCAAAGTTCCATCAATTGTTTGGATGATGACAAAAGAACACACTGCGTATTTAATCAAATATGAAACGTTTATGCATTCTTTCCTTATTTTCACAATCTTCAGTTATTTATATATGTATGCATATTTCATGTTTAATTTTATTTTTAAATTTTCATTTTCATTTTTTTTTGTACCTAACATAATTGAATACAAAAACATATCTGAGAGTTCACATAAACAATTTTAGAAAAGTGGGAGGAAAAGAAGAATTACTAATAATTTGAAAGTAACGCTAACTTATTCTCCTTTTTGTGTGTGTGGAGAGAGAGAAACTTGAATGGGCAATGTTATGATAACTTATCTGTCAATTCAGGAGAAAATTTAGAGAGAAAAGATTAATTTCCAGAGAATAAATTTCTCATCAGTTCAGTTGAAAAATCTTTTTCTGAAAAATGATGTAAAATTAGAAATAATAATAAAATGTCACCAATTCAGGCATCAATCATTGAAAACCATTGGGGATGCCATATTCGGTGAACGAAATATCCTGTAAATTAATTTTCAAGGACCCAAATGAACCCTCAGAAGATAAAGGGATCCACTCCCAAATCTTGTCATCTCAACCAAAAAGAAGACGGATTCTCTTTGAAATCCTTCCATCATTTCTCTCTCTCTCTCTCACTACCCTCTTTCGGGGAGCATTCCCATGGTTCCCTCCTAATAATGTTGTACTAAAACATTATCCTGTCAACCATTATCATTCCTTTTGCCCTCTCAACGTTATATACCTAAGGGTGATTATGGCACCTTCCATATATTATATAAGTAACTTTCCAAAACCCGCAATCTTATTTTCATCCTACTTACAAAATTTAAAATTTTAAAAATGGTACAAATTAAGAAGTTCTATTAACACTAAAAAACCTTGAAAATACACAACCCGGAGTGCTTGTTACAAGATACACCTAGGACATCGAGATTCTTTATCTATTCTTATCTATACCTCTTGAAGTCGAGAGATCAATTGGAGGGTTTTCCAAAATCATGTCACTCTTTTCAAGGGTTTTTTTAGGTACATCTTGCTTCAATAGTGCTTACACTTTCTGTAAATTTTTTCCGATACTGAATAGCAAGCCGCCAGTGAAATGCAATAAAACAAACAGCAATCGGTGCAATGAAATAGAACACTTTCTCTCTCTAAAAAAAAGTCAAATTTGCCGGTAACCCGGGCAATGCACTGGGAACACTCCTCTCCAAGTTAACGCATGAGAAGTAATCAATCCCAGAAAACAAAAACAAAAACAAAAAGCCCTCAGTTTACACCAAAATTTAGTTTCCTGAAACTGAATAGAGAGAAGCTGGTATAAGAAGCAAGGTTTTGGACTGGTTTTTAAACAAATGACCAGTTCATAAACATGAAGCAAATGCAGTGGGTGCTCTCCTCCTCATTGAGGACCTTCCATGCAACCGCTCTTTCATAAGAAACTGGCCTACCCATGCTCGAAACGCACAACCCACCTTGCAGATATGCAAATCCCTGTATAAATTACAGAGAGATGGAGAGAGTTAAGAGAGAGAAATTAAGATTTGAAAATGAAAATGAAGTTCAATAAAAAAAGGTAATTTCAACTGCTAGGAAACTAAGGCCAAAATATACTGGGATAGTTTGGGTGAAAATTTAGAAGAGGAAAAATATAGAAAATTTTTAGATAGAGAATGAATTGATTACCTGTTGCATGATTTGAGCAAAATCAGCACAGAGTGTTTTACGACCATTTTCGTCGAATATTTTCTCGAGCGTTATGTCTTGAAGGGCAACCAGTGTAGTCTCCAGCATGTCAAGACCAGCTTGGTTTGCAAAAGTGAAGACGGGGAGGGCCTGGAAATCAACGAAATACAAGGCGTTTTGGTCAGCCATGTGCATCAAAATACTAACCTTAATTCTCCACAGCACACAGGAAATCTCTCTCTCTCTCTCTCTCTCGTAGCATGATTGATGTGAAGCAGTATTATTTACCTTCAAAGAGCAGCACATGATGGCATCCGCATGATGCCAGAGCATTTTGAGCAAAGATTCACCACCCTCACCATTAGGCCTCAGAAGCTCCACTCCTAAGTGAAACCTGTCGTAGAAAGGCACAAACAAGACAAAAGAATCAGAGAAAGAACCAGCACCAGAAATTCCATCCGCATGCCCACACACACACGCTCAGACACACAAACACAGAGAGAGAGAGAGAGATCATCACCTATAGCTATGACAAATCCATCTCGCAAGTGTCAAGGCCTCAGGTGTACCAGGCGGTGGCCTAAGTCCATTGTGAGGGTTGAGTCGAGAGGGAGTAAGAGCCATGGCCACCCTTTGAACCGAAGATATCACACTCCTCACATATTGTCGAGCCATAGTTGCCACATTGTCCCGTATCTGCTCATGATTGTTCTCATAACTGAATTGGAATGCTATTGTCAATACTGACCTAAGGCTGCCGGAACCACCAGCAAACTCTCCGGAAATTCGGTTTCCAGCTGGCCCCACCTCGAGGGCAGAAGCAAGATCGAGCGTTCGATTGGGGCTTGACCCATCCTGTAATCAATCACCAAAAAGAGAAATGAAGGCAAGTAATGAAACCATTTGAAAAAAACTTTCTTCATTTCATGTTTGGATGAATCCTTGAGAAAATATTCACGAATTTCTATAAATTGCTCTCATTTCAAGTTTTTAATGCATTACTTTTTTGCAAGCAGCAAGTTATATAAATTCCTACAAAGCATGACTTACAAACAATGCAAAAAAGCCATGTATAGGAACTTTATTTAGAAAAAGATTTTGCGATTTTTCCCAGTTTTAAATGTTAGAATCTTCCGCTTTTCTTATTTTCCTCGAAATACATTAGGATGAGAAAATCCCCAAAGAAAGTACTTTAACAACAAAATTACTAAGATTCAAATTCTGGTGATATTTCATAATAAACTAGGAATCTCCATTTTGCCTAAGAAATAGTTAACAAGGATGGTGTTACTGGTACTTACAACACCGTTGTCAAGAGGAATGATTCGAAATCCAGAGGGGAGAAGAGGAGCATCATCTGCGAAAGATGGATCAATAGGTGCGAATACAAGTTCTGCACAAGCGCCCACGGCATTCTCGTCCACTCCACTGCAAAGCTGCCCAATGAAACACTATTTATGAGCAACTGTACCAAACGAAGAAAAAACAAAACAGCTATGAGAAACTATGTAGATTTTATAATAGATTATTACAGAAGATACAGTTATATGAAATACATATATTCAATGTATTCGAAGATTTTTCATATTGCCCATAAGGTCATAACTGGCCCACTATGAAATATGAGAGAGAGAGAGAGACCTGCAAGAGAAACATGTCCCTGGGAATGATGGAGTCATCCTGAACAAGGCCATGGTTTTCCAATTTGATCACCTCCAAGAACTGCAGGGAAAAAAATAAAAATTGTTTTAATGTCATGTCATGCCAGGATCCCTCCTACCCCCAGTTCAACCACCAGGAAGCGAAGACAAAGAAATTGATCCCATGCTACATGGTTTAACAGTCACAAGTGCACAGAAAGTAAAACATCTCTTTTCTTTCTGCAATTTATCTCTTTTCTTTCTGCAATTTCATTCCTTTCTGTGCAGACCACACACACACACACACAGAGATTGGTACAAAATATTATCTTATATACCTCTTCATGCTCCACTGTATGAGCCAATGGAAGGATAACCTGCCCCCCGAAGCCTCCCATACGGGAAGTGGGTAAAGTGCCAGGATTTGATTTCAGGGCAGCAGCAGAGTAAGCATCGATGTTACTATCCGCCCATTCTGATCGATGCTCTCTCAAGAATCTGATGAGTAGAGCGGGAGGTACATTCTGCATTGCAAGAAAACAAGAACACTCCAAATAAGGAACAGAATTGACAAATTCATGCAACAAAGAACAAGAAATGAAAACCAATAATAAGAGAAATAGATAAAAAAGAAGTCAATGTTAAGAGTCCTTTACTGTGAAGGAAGCCAAACAAGAACTAATTTGAAAATAATACATTAAGAAGTGACAGCTAATGAAGGCTTATGGAATTCTGAAAGAGGATTAAGAAAAAGCTTGAGGTATCCATGAAAACAAGCTTCGAAGTTCTTTAGTAGGCATCAAAATATAATAGTCTAATAGAGTAACAAGATTCCTCATGATGAGAACTACTTATCCTTTCTGTTCTTTTTCTACGAGTAAATCCATATGATGAGAACCGGTTAAACTTAACAAGAGACTTCCAAATCTAGTATTTAAGAGTACTTTATGAAGCAGGTGGATAAGGACTCCCAGAAACAACATAGATGACAGTTAAATATCCATCAAAAATATGAGAGGATTTCATGGAGATCTACCTGTAAAAGCATCGAAGCCTTGGCACATAGAACAGCTCCACAAACGGTAGGAAACCCATTTGTGGATGTAAGATTTGCAGCCATAATTTTGGCAGGGGATGAATTCACAAGAATAGTTACGTCATCCATGCCATCGTTACCCAACAAAGACCACCCATCATCTGTAAACCCATTTAGAGCTTCATTGAAACCCCTGCAAAAGATTTCATTTGAGTCTTGAAACAAAAGCTCAGGATATCCGAGATCTAAGCAGGATATTAGTGGAAACCATTGCTCCTTGTTTATATATTAAAAACAAAATGACACATACTTGCTCAGCCTCTGGCTTAGAGCCCTTAGAGCTGCCGGTTGCCGACCCCAGCCAACAACAGTGTTTTGAGAAACCTCTTGAGCTATTTGGCGGAGATGACGTAGTGCCTGGTTAACGTAATTAAGATAATTTTAATTCTCTCTCTCTCATTAGTTAGCAAATCAATGAAAGAAATGGCTGTAAGAACTGACCGCCATTGTCATCTTTTGAGCAAGAACAGTTGAAGACTCGTATAGGGGACGTAGTACTTCAGGTACACTCCAAGGCTGGTAAAAACAACATGACAACATAAATCACTAAGAAAACTCCAATATAATGGGTATATATGCGCATTATTAAATAGAGAGGTAGGAACCTACTTCTAAATCCATATGATCAACAAGGTGAATTATTGAGCCTCCCCCTTCACATGGCCTTATCAGGTAACCACTTGGGTGCATCTCAGCTCTCACAAACTGCTGCACAGGTGGCATGCTTGGACCACCTTGTGTGTTGCTCAGAGATCTTTCACATACCTAATATACATGATACAAACAATCAAATGAGGCCATGAGTTTCAAGTTGTAAACCAAATAGCAGACATATCACAATAAAATAAATGAACATAAAGTCAAGGTTAACAGACAACAAACAATATTTAAATCAGACATAATTTTATGTTTCAAACCATGACAAGAAAAAATAACACCAATTAGTTGACAATTTATGTTTCAGATTTCTATAAGAAAAATGCTACCAATTTGTTGACAGCAAGAGCTTGTCACATCAATGATATCATACATATGTAAAAAAGGGAATTGATTTTTAACATATCTTAAATAACAACCTTAAACCCCAAGCTTCACTTATTGAATTAACATAGATCAAATTGCTTTGACAAGAGGTCGACAATATATAGAAAAAGACCTTCATGTGATAGAAAAGCCAAAAACTCAATCATAAAAAACTGATGTTTAGAGGATGTAAAAGCAAAAAGAAGGATCAAGTACATACCACAAGACTACCATCTTCCAAAACTGACGTATAACGCAACAGCCAGAAATCCCGGGCAGATGCTAATGTTGTAGGAGCATACATCTACAAAGTATATGCCCAAATAAATTAGAAAAACAATCGGAATTTGCAATTACCATTAGCTTTGGTTTGGAAGTCGAACATGGAACTTATTATTTATAGAGTAAGTCAAATATGACCTTATTCCTATGGTTAAATGATACATGTATGACAATATAAACGAGCTAGGACATTAACCTGCATGTACAGTAGTTCGATGGTTCCACCATTTCCAGTGGAGAGCGCAGTCAAGACTTCCACAGAACGGCAATCGCGAAACCACGTGGGCCGATCTTTGAGGATCTCTGAGACCTTTGAGAAAGAAGCAGGAAAAGTAGAAAGAAGCAGACAATTACATGCTCCATTAAACAAACCATAGCTCAAAATTGGAAAATAAATTAATATAGAGAAGCTTACCTTTGTAGGTTCTAAACCTACAAGACCACAGGCTCGTGCAGCAACTCCAGTGCAACCATGTGAAATAGCAACGATTCCAATGGAATCCGGACCAGGCTAAGCAATAAACAAAATAACAGAATCAATTTGATTGTTTCACATGAATATAATGAAATTCAACTGAAGACGAAATATGGTTAAAACCTTCATCCCAGGCATTTGGATCCACTCCACAGCGGTTCCAGTAGCCTTCGAAAGAAACTCTGCTAAAGTCTCCTCCGCAATGGACAATAGTCTGTAAAATAACAAATTCATCAATCAAAGTTACTCAAAATTCATTATTAACAAAACAATATGGGCATGACTCATACAAAACCTAAGGAGAAAGAAGAGAAGAAAGATCACGAAAAACCAATAGAACAGGAAGAGGAGGCACTGGATTCTAACTCACCCAGCAGGACTAGCATCTCTTGGAGGATGCTGTGGTGTCAAATGGTGTTGACCGCTGGTCACCACTGACTCACAACTTGTATCTGTGGTTGTTATGGCCACCTGAAACCAGGAGTGGACTTGAAATTTACAAAACAAACATAAAAGAAAGCATAACAAAAAAAAAAATGGAATCAGTGAACCAAAAATGATTTATTGATTTCAGGATAGTGTAATTACATTCTGTGTTTGTTGGCGAAAATACCCATTCTCATACACCAACTGTGACACCTGCTTCTGCAAGCGATCATTCTCTTCCATTAACAGTTTATTCATGGCCGTTAACTTCCTATTAACCGCTTGCAATCGTGATGCCTCTTTTCTCTGTTTCTCTCTGCATCTGAAGAAGAAAAGGAGAAACAAAGATCAACGTAGCTTCAAAATGTTGACCAAAACATTTGAAAACCACAATACTCAAAGTCATAGCAATCCATAACCATGCTTTTCTTTCTTAATTTTTATGGATTCGGCAACACAAGAAAACTTGGACCGTACTTATCTTCTTCATAGAAGTTTACAAATGGAACAAAAATTTGAAAATAAAACTTCAAGAAAAAATGCAAGATATTTTATCTCTAATACCTTCGGTTTTGAAACCAGACTTTGATTTGCTTGGGCTCGATGTTAGATAATATAGGGCACTCTCGAATGAGCTGCTGCCTTCGAATCGAACTCGGCTTTGGGCACTCATGATAAAGCCTCTCCAGGGCTTCAACCTGCTCAGGAGTGTACCGAACATATTTACCAGGGTCCATTCCAGGCTTCCCCTCCTTGCAAGCTGTAACAGCCATCATCCCTTCAAAATTAAGCTCAAAGTTCTTCTCCCTCTCTCTAGAAGCTTCACAGTTAGGCCTCTATGCTCCCTATCGCTCTCTTTCCCACTCTTTTCTCTTGATAAGACTTGAAATTGAAAACCCACAATACGAGTTCCTTGTGTCCTTAATCCTCAGAATCAAGTCCACTTGTTTGCACGGCCTTTGAGCTTGTTTAAAAATAGCACAATTCAGGGGTTGGAAGCTAAATGAAAGATTCTCTATTGAGCTCAAAATGGTTCCTTTTTCTACTCAATCAGGCTTCCTTCACCATTGACTTCAAAATGAAGCCTCTGCTTTTTTCCTTACAAATACTTAAGAAGACTAGAAATACTATGTTCTTTGAACCAGGAAGTAGGAAAGGACAAAATTGAAATGCAAGAGAATGTCAAAAATACACAGTATAATAACACTTTGAAAAAAAAAATTACTTGAAACCCGTCAGGACTTCTGGAGACGTCAGTTTTCTGAAACAGTGAACTTTGAATTTACTCCAGCTGAAAAGAACAGAATAAAGGAAAAAAGAAAAAGGAAGAAGAGAATAAAATCTGTGAATTTCTTCCAATTTTAATCTTAAAACCAAGAAAACTTTTCCTATCTCGACATTTCCAAAAATTAGAATTTCAGAACAGGAACCCAAAAAAAAAAAAATTTCCTAAATCTCCCGAAATACAAAAATAAATCGAAAAATATAAATTTAACACTGTTACTTTCACTCAAACGCAAAAGACAGGGGAGGGGGAATTTCAAAATCTTTGAGGATTTTTTGGGTTTATAAATCCAAGATAGAAGGCATAACCCCTCTTTAAGTTAACCCTCTGGTATGCGACCGTAGAAGTTTCGTACGATGAACACCTCGCCAAAGTTAATCTTTTAAAACCAGATATATATCCCAACACATCAACCTTTAAACCTTCTCTTCAACAACACTTCAAGCTTTGCGGCGATTTACCAGAAATATCTCAGCAACTCCAACAAATGGGTACCCTCCAATCAAGCTTATATAACAGAGTCTCTTATATTTTCAAGCTAATATTGCACCAAGGATCTTAAAGTTTAGACTCTTTTCCTGTAGACCAGTCTATGAAGTTTATCAGAGGTAAAGGCAATCCGTGGCGTTTATCAGAGAAACACCTCAATGTTTGTAGTTGTACTTTGGTGCGATAGTAAGATTTCAGTACCTCTCTCTCTCCAACAATAAATATCACACGTGCGAAACCTTTGAATTGACGGCTTCTTCCTCTAATGCCTCAACCGGATCTGAAAGGCATTAATGCAAGCCGAATTATTAATGTCATAAACCAGCGATTAGGAGAGAGAGATCTAAAAGGCGATATCAGAGAGAGAGGGCATTGAGATACAGAAAAGCTTGAAAGAGAGAGGGAATAAAAAAGCTGATAAGAGTGGGAGAGAGGATATTGAGATTCAAAAAGCGAGAGAGAGAGAGAGTATCAGAGGATTCGAAAGTTTAATAAAATGACGTTTTCGAGAGGAACGTAACACTGTTCAGAAGTTTATTTTCCTTATTAAAAACCTAATCTTTAAAGATGCGGAGAGAAAAAAAAACATCGGAGATGCTGCGTCGCTTATGGAGTATAAGAAAGAGAAAAAGCCCATTTAATATGTATATAGCACAGAACAAGACAGAAGGTATATCCAATGTTCAAAAAAAAAGACAGAAGGTAAATACATACATCAAATGTCTTTTTATTTCAAGCTTATATACAGAAACAAGTTAAATGAAAAAGTACTTTAAATACCTTGCATTGAAAGAGAGAGGCACAGAGAGAGATGAAAGAGAGAGAGTCCAGAGCCTGAAAATTAACCGGGAGAAATAGTAGATACCAAAAAAAAAAAAGAGAAACCAGGAACAAGACACCGAAAGAGAAAAAGACTAGATACTTGACACATGAGAAAGAGAGAACAACATAGATACTTGAAAATCACAGAGAGAGAGAGAAAGAGAGTAAATACTTGACACCGAAAAGACTCAAATAGAGAGACTACGTAATAGATACCTAAAAATGAGAGACTTCGGAGTAGATTGAGAAAGAGAGAGAGAGAGTAGATGTCTGAGAAAGGGAGAGAGAGTCATTGTTATTGAGAAAGAGAGAGAAAGTAGATGTCTGAGAAACAGAGAGAGAGTCATTGTTACCTGTAAAAAATAATATTATCTGTAAAGCTTGCTAGCTAAGAAATCGCGATGAATCGATCCTTTGATCTTTGCCCGATGAAATTCGCACGAGTAAAGCACGCAGAGGTCGGCAACACTTCAATATCTTTCCTATCGCCTCAAAAACGACGCCCAAAAAAAAGGCAAAGAGAACAGAGCTCTTACGGCGTTGCAGAGACGCTACAAAAGATCGCCGGTGTAAAGGCGGTTTGATCGCCGATCAAATTCCACCCTTTTTTCAAGCCTCAAAAGAAGAGACGATTCGCTACTCCAAGGCCTTTTACACGAGACATCTCTATCTCACCAGCTTTGTACCCGTATTTCAAAAGATCGCCGCGTGAAACAATCAAATCGTCGATCCGATTCTCTATTTGTCAACCTCAAAGCAAACAAGCAGGAGGCTTTCTTTATCAGAGGCACTAAACAGACGATTTATTGGAGAGATCGGCGATTAGAGGCTTGGAATGGGCGATGAAATGCTTCATTCTTGTGAATTTTTCATTTTTGCTCCGGAAATGAACAACAATAGAACACCGGAAACTCCTGATTCACACTGAGGCCAAAGCGATTAAAGACCGCAAAATAACTCACTACTTTACGATTAGAACGAGAGAAGAAACTGCAAGTATCAGGAATTCGCGCTTCTCTTGAGCTCAACAGAAATCACCAGTGATAAGCTCCAAATCACTGATTAAACTTCAATCTATAAAGCAGCGCACAGGTAATCGGCCATTAAAATCCACTTAAAGCTACAGAAGAGATAACAGGCGACAAGCACAAGCTTCAGCTAGTTGCAGAGACGCATTAAAACAACGATCGCCTTAGAACTCAAAATTTGGTGACTTATCACCCTTTTAGACTCAGAAAAACAGAGAATAACTCAGGGAGGCTTGGAATTCAAGCGACTTTTCTCGGTTATCGAAGCTCTCAATAGCGATTTTTGTTGCAGGTACGGCGATGAGCGAGCTCTGAAACGTCCAAAGATTTTCAGAAATGTGAGAAAGACGTGCTATTTTAGGGTAAATTTGAGAGGAAAACGCATGATTAGAGGCCAATGTTCTGCCATGGCGGTCTCTGAAACTCCAATCTCCACCTCTCGCTATTCGCTTTCTCTCTCTAACTTGTTGCAATATACTCTGCTTTGGTACTGGTATTATCTCTGGTAGTGTTGGGGACTGAACCGAAAAAAACACGCCTCAAGAATATATATAACGCCTACTGTGGAAATGCCCAGACTTCGAAACTGAAATATCCAGACTATCCTGTACGGAAAGTGACGGTATATTAGCTCGAGGAAATGATTCCGATCTTTTCTGAAATGACTATGATGCCCTTCGTTTATCGTTCTTATGACCCCCGTGAACCTGTGGAGAGCGGCGCTTGAGGCTTCTCCTTTGAGTGTCTAGATTTGGAATTTTCGATAAAGATATCATGACCAAATTGCTTTTAGGGTGCACCGTAAAAAGAGATTTCGATAATATTTAAATTTAGTACATTACTCTAAAAAAGTTATTGGATGAGTGTAGGGCTTGATTTTTTTTAGATCCGTAATAATTTTAATTTTGTTTTTTTGAGATCCTACAAAATGGATAAAAGAGACTCTTGTAAGATCATTACTCTTTTTTTAAACTCTCGTAGCTAAAAAATCTATTTTCTTTTTTATTATGAAATTAAAAGCTTCAAAAATAATATAACATATTTATGAACATTTAAAAATTTTAAAAATAAACAGTCTAGATAATGTACTATTATTAAGACTTACAATTCATTTTTTCATTCATATCCATATATATAGAAGTCAAAATGATTAATTGGAGATTTTGTTAATAACTAAACAACATTTTTCAATTGGGTTATGACGTGTACCTTACTTCTATAGTATAAGGTTGAGACCTTATATAAACTTTTTCCGTGTCTATATATTTGATTGAAGGAAAAAATTTATATAAATTTGTGAGTTGCAACTTTACACAACTGAAGTAATGTGTGCTTCAAAAATCCAATAAAAAATTTATGCTAAGTAGCAAACTTAGTTGTAGAAATAAAATTGCAGTAACTTATATCGTCCAACTAAAATAGGGAAAATTGTTTCATGCGGGGTGGACCCCATTTCTACAATATGCGATCATAAGGTATAAAGCATCCATTCTAATGATGGATGCAAATAGGTGGTCTATCGGTCCAAATGTGTTTTCAATAGAATTCTTGTTTCTAATTCCTTAATTTTATTTATTTTTTTATATTCATAATCTCAATGTTAGAGATTACATGTCCTTAAAAATTATATCCAAAAATTCATCTTAAAAATAAAATTTTAAGAGATGACTCATTTCTACATGGACTCATAAAAAATGTGTCTAAGCTTGGTTCCCACCTTATATAAATTGTATCCTCTAAAATTTTAAACATATTGTTGCATTTTAATGGTACCCCCATTTGGACAAATTGAAATTACCCAAACTAACCTTTATAATAAAAGTTAATATCACTCTCTTTAGCATAAATCAACTTAAAATTCGACAAAATTTATAAAATAAGAGCCAAATATGTGAGAATATATGGTTACAAAAAAAAAAAACCTGTGTTTTAAAGCCGGATTTTGAATTGTCCGACCGCCCTGTTTATATATCAACTCAAACGGTGGTATGGATATATTAAACCAAAAAAAAATAGATAAAAATAATAAAACATATCAAAGATTTTAAAAGATCAACTTTGATCGTCCACCAACTAAATCCGATCTCGAAAACGCCAATTCTAATCTACACATAATCACCCACCCATCGAATCCGATCTTAAAAGTACCATTTCTAATCTACACCTAAGCAAGAAGCGGTATTGATTTGAAGGGCATTTCGGTCCTTGTGGAGAACAAAATTGGCTTAAGCCTATTTCTGATATTAAAGGGGCTCATAGTGGTATCGTTGTAGTGTTTACCATAGTATACGAAAAACGAGAGCGTGGAAGGCGGGGTGGTGTGTGTGGGACAGAGAAGACAGAATTATGAGGGCTTTGCATGCGCCCTAATTCCCCACCTTTTGCCTAACATCATCATCTACCATCTCATCTCAACACCATACACATCTATACATGTTGTATGCATCGTCCTATTCATACACATGCATGATGATGTGATAATGCTCATGACCCATGAATGGTGAAACATGCCCTAAAACCATTCATGCGATAAACATGCGGCCGCACCTATGGCAATGTGAAAATTGAGACTCATGCAATTTATATGAAAATGGGGAAAATGAGATGAGAGAATTCGACAAACAAGCAGGTTAAGGTAAATTATTTAGAGAAATAGCAAAGAATATGGAGTCAAATTATTTATTGAAACTTGTAAAGAGATAAAAATATGTGTAACTTTAAGGTTTACATTTAAGTTGCATTTCAAAAAAGTGCTTTGTCCGATTTACACAATGCATATTTCGATGGTCTATTTCCCACATATTTCGTGAAGCCATGGTGGCTGATATGCTTACAAAGAGGGGCTACATCTTATCAAAGAGTTAATGTTTGCTGTTTTCGTCTGCCAAAATTTATTTACCTTGCTTTTAACTCATGATTTAGCGCAAGTGCCATGTTCTAGGGTTTTATGGTAATGACCTGCAAACTTTTTTTTTCTTATTTCTTAATGAAAAACGGGTAAAAGGCCTTCTCCCCCACAGACTTACCCAAAAACAAGATAAGGCATATTTGGTCGGGAGTTTACTTTTAGGGAAAATATCATTTAAATGGTTGAAAGTTTCAAGGGTTCAAATGGTGACATATTTAACATTGGATGCGGTTTGTATAGAGCCTCGGCTTTAAACAATCAAACTAGAGCCCACCTTCACATAGTGTTGAGAAATATGGTTTCAATACTAGAATGTTTACGATAGCCTTAAACTATATTTTCATCTTAAGTTATAAAATTTAAAGCTTTAAAAATAGTATAGATCAAGCTGATGCAAGAAAACTTGAAAATCTTGAAAATTGACGGTCCAAAATTTAGTTACAAGATGCACGACTTTCAAAATTTGAAATCCATTTTTTTCTCATGTCCATGCATCTTTAAGTCGAGATGATCAATTTGATGATATTTGGGCATCAAAACAACCTCTTCTAGTGAAAGTTTTGAGGTAGACTCTAATTTGATTGTTTAGAGTTTAAGCTTTATATAAACTTTCCCCTTTAACATTTGAGGTGTTACGTTTAAATTTTTATTTCACTCGAGTATATCGTCAAAATGAACTTAAGAATTTCACAAATTTCCTTGTAAGGATTAGGTAATTTGACCTCCAAAAGGCTCCAATTGAATAATGAAAATACACTGTTTATTTAGGATTACAAATAAAAAACACCATATTCAGGGTTCATAATGAAAAACAACAAGTGGTATTTGTTGTCATTTGACACCCATATGCCTTGTATATTTGAAATAAAATAAATACTCCTAATTGTTCCTTATTACTAGCCATTCCTCATTACTAACCATGAACAATATGTTTTTTATTTGTAATCTTGAGTATGTCGTTATTCAATTAAGGCCTCTCCAGGTTCAAATTATTAAAATACTCTTAATGGTTTAGAATTCCCAATTCCCAACAAATACAATTCGAAAATTTTAAAATTTTTAAAGAGATGCTTGAGTGAAATAAATAAAAAAGTGATACCTTGAACGTTAAATGGAATCATCTGAATTCCTCTAATGATTTTCTCGGGGGTTTCAACTTTCAATCCCTTAAATTATAGTATCCCGACCTTTATTTATTTAGTTTTGGATTTATCTTCCTATATATTTTATTTAGTTGATTTTTATGAAAAAAAATTAGATAACAAATAAGTAAATTTTTTTTGGGTACGGTTTGTATAGAGGCTAGGCTCTAAACAATCAAATTAGAGCCTACATTCAAATAGTGTTGAGAAATGTGGTTTCAATACTATAAATCCTTTTGATAACCTTAAAATATAAATAAAGTTAAAAGCTTCAAAAATAGTGTAGATCGAGGGATCTATGAAAACTTGAAAATTTTTAAAATTGATGGTCCAAAAATGCGTTAATAAAATGCACTATTTTCAAAACTTGAAATCCTTTTTTTTTCTCATATCCATGCATCTTGATGTCGAGATCATCAATTTGAAGATATTTGGGACCTCTTCTAGTGAAATTTTTGAGGTAGGCTTGAGTATGATTTTTTAGAGCCTCGGCTCTATATAAACTGACAAATAAGTGACATTAGATATCTAATTGTGGAATATGAGATTGGTTTACAATACTGAGTTCTTATAGAAGTAGGAACCACAATATTGAGCACTGAGTTCTGGGCTAGACACTTGACACCAATTTCTAATGGTTACATCACCATTTTACTTTGAAGTTCCTATATACAGCTTGTTAGAATTCTGTTTGGGTGCTATTTTTTCAAACCAATGAGGTTTAACCTATTTCTTCCACTTGGATTGAAACTTCAAAAAATAACTGATTTTTAACCCAACTTTTATTTCTGCCAAATATTTTCAAGGATGTTGTATATGCCTTTTTCTAGAAACGTTAATCTTTGGATCTTGATAATAAATAGGATTTTCAAGAGATATTTTAAGGAACCTGGAGGCAAAAATAGTTACAAATAATATTTAAAAGTCATGCTCCTATTTATTCCCATTTTATGTATATATATTTTTTTGATAATTGGTAGGAATGGAATTCAAAGCATAATCTTTATTGGAGAAACTTTCGGAGCTATCATTATTAATTTTTTTCCGGTGAACCTTTATTAGTCTTTTGCAACTTAATTTTAGATGAAAATAATTTCCTATTTTCAATCATATTGACTAAATTTAACAGTTTCTACACCATTTATTTTAGAAAATATGTTCATGACATTAAACCCATTATATGACATCCCTTGTCGATAGACAATGTGAAATGCATGTGAACTAGTTCTTGGCCCTAGACTCTCATAGGCAAAGGGAGAGAGATTTAGTTGCTTAATTTTATTATATTTGAGAAATTTTGTTTCAGACTTTGTGCCTAAACAATGATATACCCTCAACCACCATATCTCAATCGAATGGTCAATGATGGTTGTGACATCTTTGTATCAAAAGTAAATGGTCTCATTGTATACAGTTTTAAAAGTAAAAAATTGGGTTAAAGTAAAAAATTGGGTAATATAAGAAATAATGACAAAAT